TTTGATCAAATAACAAGACTGCGAGAAAGGATGGCAGAGACAGGAAACAAGAACCCACTGAAAGGCCGGAGCAAAGGACGTCAGAAGCTAAGGGCTAGGATGCAACCGAGGAAAGAGTTGGTTGATCTCAGGACTCTCCTCATCCATTGCGCACAAGCTGTGGCAGAAGACAGCTACCTGTTGGCCAGTGAACTGTTATTGAAGATAAGACAACACTCTTCAGCAGATGGTGATTGCACTCAGAGACTGGCATTTTACTTGGCGGATGGCCTTGAGGCACGCTTGGCTGGGAGCGGGAGTCAGGTTTATCGCACCCTCATCGAGAGGCGAACAAGTCCCACGGATTGGTTACAGGCTTACAGCCTTTTTGTTGCAGCTTGCCCTTTTGTCAGGACGTCATACTACTTTGCGAGCCAAGCTATTCTTGATGGCTCAAAAGGGCAAGCAAGGGTGCACATCATTGATTTTGGCATCGGCTATGGCTTTCAGTGGCCATTAATGATTCAGAAATTTGCACAGCAAGAAGAGGGAGCCCCTAAGCTTCGGATCACAGGTATAGACGTTTCTCAGCCAGGTTTTCGCCCCTGCGAAATGATCGAGGAGACAGGGAAACGGTTGGCTGATTATGCAAACATGTTCAAGGTACCTTTTCAGTATCAGGGCATTGCCGCTTCAAGATGGGACAGCATTAAAATTGAGGATCTTAACATTGACGAGGATGAAGTTCTCATAATCAACTGCATATTCCGGATGAAGAATCTTGGTCATGAAACCGATGGCATAAATAGTGCAAGGGACGAGGTGCTGAAAACTATGAGGAGGATGAACCCAAAGGTTTTCATTTCTGGCACTGTGAACGTGTTACATAGTTCTCCCTTCTTCATACAACGATTCAAAGAAGTTATGCTCCATTACTCTTCAGTGTTTGACATGCTTGATGCAAATGTTCCACGGGATAGTGAAGCAAGAAAGATGCTTGAGAGGATCCCATTTGGGCGGGATGCACTTAACATAATAGCATGTGAGGATGCAGAAAGGACTCAGAGGCCAGAAAGTTACAGGCAGTGGCAAGGAAGGTTCCTCAAGGCTGGGTTCCAGCAGCTTCCCATGGATCAGGCCATCTTAAAGAACATAGTACACATGAAGAACTTACATTATCATGAAGAATTCTTTGCTGTTGAAGATTGCGGCTGGCTGCTACAAGGATGGAAAGGGAGAGTGATGTATGCTATATCTAAATGGAAACCTGATGAAAAATATGATGGTCAGTAAGATTCGAACAGTTTTTCAAGTGCGCAAACATATTGGCAACTTACCGCCTCTGTAGCTACTTGCATGATTCTCAACGCAACGCTACTTTATGCTAGCATATCTTGGAACAAGATGGGATGGTGATTTGAGTGTTGATATTCAACATGCTTTGATTTGGTCCAACTGCGCAACTACGCGACCATATATGCAGCAAAAGGCAACTGTGCAACGCTTTGCTTCTGTCGCTCTATTTAATTTCTGAACAAAGGGTTCCGTAAGTGAATCTGGCATTCTTTTAGCTACGTGTACTTGGTAATTGTATTGGGCCTACAAGACATGCGATTAGTGGAAATACCATACCTGGGCACTGGATTCGCTGTAAATTACAGTAGAATATTGCACTGCCCATCCCTCAAAACTGGCGATATGGACGATCAGAGGATTCTCATTTCTTATTTGAAGCAATTGTACTTGATATAAACAAGGTTCCTATGCACGAATCCAAACTCTCTCCATATCACAAAAAAGTGGAGTTTTGGACATGCCTCGAGTCGAACTTTTAAAATTTTAACTAGGAACATCATTTTAACCATCCAGATTAGAAGTTTGAAAATCATATGTACATATTTTTCTCCGAGGGGACTACCAAATCACTAGGGCCACAGATATACGGGGAATCGGAGAGGGGGAGGGACCTTGGAGAAGGTCGCAGAGGGTGGGGTGGAGGCCGAGGTCGGCGAAGGAGCCCGAGGAGAAGAGCCCCTCCTCGTCGTATTCCTTCGCCTACGCCTTCCCATTCGCCGCCGCCGCCGCCGGCGAGCTGCCGAGCTTCCTCGTGGCGGCCATGGACAGAGAGGTCACGGAGGAGAGGAGTGAGAACCGTAGAGAAGGAGGAGGCGTTTCCGCCTTCGGAGAGCGTTTACGCACCTGCTGAACTGCTGGGTCGTGTTTTAACTGGGCCTGGGCCCTGGGCTGTGTCATGTTAGGCTTCACCTATGACGCCAGCTAGTCCTACACATTATTTACAATTTGTATATTCGATTCCACAGCAACACAAGATATCGTCTCGTTCAAAAAACTCCTTGCCACACGAGGTACTAAGGTGGCCAATCCAACCCGTGGGTCCTCCATCGCTCGATCAAGGCCTCCATATCTAGACCAGGAGCTGTCATCGCCAGAGCCATTACAACACTATGTCAGTAATCTTGTGATGATGCTAATCTAGTTAAACTTAACCAAAAATTGCCTAATTTCTTAACAAAATAAAAAAATGTCAATGTCCACTAAACAGAATATGATGAACAAGATGAGAGTTTTATATATTATTAGGTGAGCAAGTTACAATGGTTGGTGACATAGGCATCAATACAAGGTCACATTCAACAGCCTAGGTGAAAACCAAGCACAAACTATGTAGTTTGTGGTTTCTAAAAAAGTACTCCCTCCGTTCCAAAATAGATGACCCAACTTTGTACTAAAGTTAGTATAAAGTTGAGTCATCTATTTTGAAACGGAGGGAGTAGGTAGTTAGTGAAGATGGTGGCAGCACACTATGAAAATACATCACACACTATGAAAAAAAATAGGTAGTTAGTGAAGATGGTGATTGCACTCAAATAATATTATCTTTCCTTTCTCATACACAAAAAATAATGATGATGCTTATCTCTCTTTGAAATAAAAGAAAGTACAATCACTGCCTGTCCATTTCTGTAATTTTCTTCAGGTAAACAACATTTGTTCTTTTGCTGTGTGATCTACATATTTTGTTTAAATGGGGGCAAAAGATTTGTCTGAGAGTAGAGTTTTACAATAATCCCTTACAACACCGCATGACAGTTACTCGTGCAATACAATTTTTCCAAGCTTCTTTGCACCTGTGGCGACCCATAGCTGGGCCTCCTCCACGATGATGTTTAGGACTATTGGGGGCAGCACACTTTTGTGCAGGAAGACGCGGGCGAGGCCATAGCTTTTCTATTTGGAATATTCATGCTGGTTCTACTAGCCCACCAATGTTTGACGGAGCCCTTTAAATGCCAAGATGTAATTTATCAAACTAATTAATGTTGTTGATGTTGATGGAGCACTCCAAATGACAAGAAGGTGAAATCTATTAGTTACTAATGGCCGCGAACATGTCTAATATATCACATATACGTGACCAATCTCAAAGCCTTTATACGATACCACTATACCAATCTCGAAACACAAAGAAAATAATTACAGAAAAAACTGATGGTTTAATGAGATACTAAAGTACAACAAACTACACTCCAAAAATTCAACCATTATATATATCAACTACCAAATGAAAAAAATACAAGTTTTTTTTAATAGTGCCTCCTTTTTTCTTTCAATTACGTCCAAAATTTTAACAGATTTTTGTTTTATTTTCTTCTAGTATTTATTTTGGCCTGTTCTTCTAGTATTACAAATTGAATCTGGATGTGCATTTTCATGACATAATAACTAACAATCCTGTCGATGTTGTAAATAAAATTCAGAGGCATTTACACTCCTTAAACATTTGGTACAACTGTATCACTCAAGCCTTGGTAAAATACTCCAGGTATGGCAGAACATAAGTGTCAGACTAGCTACGCACCAACAATTCAACTTTCAACTAATAAGATAATAAAAAATCTGATTATTTTACTGAGATGAAGTACAACAAACTATCCTCGAAAAATTCGACCAAGACCATTATATATATCAGCTAGTGCATCTTAAAATAATCAACTAGTACAACTGTATCACTCAAGCCTTGGTAAAATACTCCAGGTACGGCAGAACATAAGTCTCAGACTAGCTAGGCACCAACAATTCAACTTTGAACTAATAAGATAACCAAAAAGAATCTGATTATTTTACTGAGATGAAGTACAACAAACTATCCACGAAAAATTCGACCAAGACCATTATATATATCAACTAGTGCATCTCAGAATATATCAACTATCAAGTGGGAAAGAAAGAAAAAATTCTTCAAATAGTGCATCTCCTTTCGATTACCTCGGAATTTTTTAACGACTCAATTAGGGACCCTAATAATGTTGATACCCAGGAAAGCATTCCTAATAAACACTTTTTTATACCTCTGATGCGCAGCCGGGCCTAGAACTAATCGACAGGATAGTTGCTTGTACTCTGGACCATTCTCTGTCACAATCTTATGAGGTTGGGAACAAAGGCATAAGGTAGAGGAACGACAAATTTAGTTCACATCAACACCACAAGCTCACTACTATTCTTTCATAGCCCACATCCCCACTACTCTTCTCAGAGCACTGGATCTGCTGCTGCTGCTGCTGCTGCTGCTAAATAACCAAGGTGTGTGATTCCCTACTTTTGCTACTTGCGAAGCCTCCTGCAGATAAAACTGAGCAGTGGTATTAAGCGCGTCAGAGATTCTATATTTAACCGGGTAAAGTAGTTATTCTCGTGTCTGCAAGCCTTTGGAATTAGTTTTCGATCAGTATGGCATGCCAAAACAATCATAAGCTGAATCTCTAATAAAAAGGAAGAAGCATAAGGTGAAGGAAAAAAAAAGGGAGCTCGCTGGGCAGAAATCCGTTTCACAGACATTGTAGATTGTAGCACATGAGCAAGGCGAACCGAAATTCGTCTCACATAATTTAGCTTCCATTTCCCCCCCTTTCTTCTTCCAGGAAAGAAGCTGATTCATTTGCTGTGGGACGAAGAAGATTTGCTTATCTCGAATTGAGGTGGAAAAGAGACTTTCCACAATGGCGATTGAATCTCTCCGTGACAATCTGGACACTGTCGAAGCAACCGACCAACCATACGATGGTGATTCCTCTTTCCAGCAGCAACTCACCACGTGCAATTACAACCATGGTCCGCACTTCTTTCCCCAGCCAACCACTGGAGCAAGAACATATCTGCATCGTACAGACACTGGCCCTGGGTTGTGCAATGTCAACAGCAGCCATGGACAGAACCAAATTCAAATCGCTGCGGAACATCACCGGATGAGATCAAACGATGCTCTTCACTACATAAGCCAGATGCTGATGGAAGATGTCGACGAGAGGGTCGACGTATGCCAAGGGGAGGCTGCTCTCCAGGCTGCTGAGAAACCGTTCCGTGACATTCTTGGGCAGGGATACACGCCGGCCACTTACTGGCCGCCATTGCATGGCAACAACGAAACAGGTATCTCAGATAAGAGTGGCAGCAGCTGTCACAAGAGGCTCTGGAGCAATAGCTTCAGTAATTACTGTTCCGGTTACAGCGTGTTACGGCCCTTAACCACCCCCTTGAGTCCATACATCTGCAATACGAGCCTTTCTCTACCAAACCATCCGTTGACAAGTGTTGGACAGGCTTCTGGATCTGGTTTCCCCACCTTGGATTGTCAGAGAAGAGGCATCGAGGAGGCAACGATGTTTGCTCCAAGCATTCATAAACTGGTGATATATTTAGAGAATGGCATACTTTCTATTTCGCAACTAACTACAAAGGCAAAAACAGGAGAGAGAAGCGAAAACGCAATCTTTGCGCTGGCAGACCAAAGGGAGTGGGATATCTTGCAAGGGAGGGGCCATAAACACCATGCCATCACCACTTGTGCAATAATTCGAAATGAAAATTTTGACGGAGTTCTGCTAGACCATGTTTGTCAGACTTCCGACCAGACAACAAGACTACGAGAAACGACGGCGGAGAAAGGAAACAATAACTCACTGAAAGGCCGGAGCAAAGGACGTCAGAAGCTATGGCAGAGGAAGCAACCAAAGAAAGAGTTGGTTGATCTCAGGGCTCTCCTCGTCCATTGCGCACAAGCTATAGCATTAGAAAACCACCTGTTGGCCAGTGAAGTCCTACAGAAGATAAGACAACACTCCTCAGCAGATGGTGATTGTACTCAGAGACTGGCATTTTACTTGGCGGATGGCCTTGAGGCACGTTTGGCTGGGATCGGGAGCCAGGTTTATCGCAACCTCATGGAGAGGCGAACAAGTACCACAGAATGGTTAGAGGCTTACAGCGTTTTTATTGCATCTTGCCCTTTTTTCAAGACGTCATACTACTTTGCCAGCCAAGCTATTCTTGATGTCTCAAAAGGGCAACCAAGGGTGCACATTGTTGATTTTGGCATCGACTTTGGCTTTCAGTGGCCACTAATGATTCAGAGGTTTGCACAGCAAGAAGAGGGAGCCCCTAAGCTTCGGATCACAGGTATAGACGTTTGCCAGCCAGGTTTCCACCCCTGCGAAATGATCGAGGAGACAGGGAAGCGGTTGGCTGATTATGCAAACATGTTCAAGGTACCTTTTCAGTATCAGGGCATTGCCGCTTCAAGATGGGACAACATTAAAATTGAGGATCTTAACATTGACGAGGATGAAGTTCTCATAATTAACTGCATATTCCGGATGAAGAATCTTGGTCTTGAAACCGATGGCATATATAGTGCAAGGGATGAGGTGCTGAAAACTATGAGGAGGATGAACCCAAAGGTTTTCATTTCTGGCACTGTGAATGGGTTAAATAGTTCTCCCTTCTTCATACAACGATTCAAAGAGGTTATGCTCCATTACTCTTCATTGTTTGACATGCTTGATGCAAATGTTCCACTGGATAATGAAGCAAGAAAGATGATTGAGAGGACCCCATTTGGGCGGGATGCACTTAACATAATAGCATGTGAGGATGCAGAAAGGACTCAGAGGCCACAAAGTTACAGGCAGTGGCAAGCAAGGTGCCTCAAGGCTGGGTTCCAGCAGCTTCCTGTTGATCAAGCCATCTTAAAGAACATAGTACACATGAAGAACTTACACTATCATGACGAATTCTTTGCTATTGAAGACTGCGGCTGGCTGCTACAAGGATGGAAAGGGAGAGTAATCTATGCTATATCCAAATGGAAACCTGATGAAACGCATGGTGACCAGTAAGATCCGTACAGTTTTGCAGGCTGCGGAGACAACTTCCTTGCATGCTTCTCAACACGGTGGATCTAAAATTCTGAAGACGGCAAGACATTCTTTCGTCAGAGATGAGCATCGGAAACCTATCTTGGAAGGAGATGTGATGGAGATTCGAATGTTTATACTCAACATGTTTTTATTTGGTCCAACTGCGCAACATGCAGTATCATATGTTGGAAATAAATAGAAGGCGACTGTAAAATAGTACCTTGTGTGTTCTTTTTAATTTCTGAACAAACTATTATAGAAATTTGCTCTATAAGTGAATCTGGTGTTTTTAAACGAATATTAACTATGTGTACTTGGTTATCATTTTGATCCATCTATTGGGCCTGTTGGACATGAGAATGATGGAAATACCATACCTAGACACTGATTTTACTGTAAATAAGGAGATTACTGCACTGTCTACTTCTCAAAATTGGTGACATGGAAGGCCAGAGAAATAGTGATTTCTGAAATGAAGACGGCAAACAAGGTTCCTATGCACGAATCCAATGGAATGCATATGCGACGCTCTGGACATGTTACTCGCTCCATATCACATTCACAACTAGGTCTAGGCGGGTGGCGTTTTGGACATGTCTTTGATCAAACTTCTGCTTCAAACTACGAGTATCATTTCAATCGTTCAGATTGGAAATTTGAAAGCCATATGCACAGATTTTTCTTTAAAAAAACGTGGGCTACATTAGGAGGTGAGTTCAAAAATAATCATATGTTCACCGAGGGGGCTGCCATGCCACCAGGGCGTCGGGAAACACGGGGAGTCGGATAGGGTTAGAGGAGGGAGGGACCTTGGAGGCGGGCGCAGAGGGTGGGGTGGTGGAGGCCGATGTCGGCGAAGGAGCGCGAGGAGAAGTGCCCCTCCGCGTCGTCTTCCTTCGGCGCCGCCGCCGCCGCCGACCTGCCGAGGTTCCTCTTGGCGTCCAGGCCATGGAGGGAGAGAGAGAGAGGAGGCGTTTTCCGCCTTCGGAGAGCGATTACGCAGCGCACCTGCTGAACTGCTGAGTCGTGTTTTAACTGGGCCTGGGCCCTGTGCTGTGTCGTGTTTTAACTGTGCCGAGTTTAGGGTAAATAACATTTTTTTTCTGCTGGTATTTTGGCACATGGGAGCACGCGTTCCTGGTTTTAAAATGTGTTTTAAACATATTTTAAAATATAAAAAAATCCAAACAAAAACTTGACACGTACATCTCGATATTGTACATGCTAAAAAAATCGTTTCGCGACTGAAAACTTATGTGTCGTGTGTGAAAAAGACAAAATCCGGTGTTAAAAATATGCTTTTCACAAGACATCCTTTTGTCTTTTTTACACAAGCCACAGAAAATGTCGGTTTTCTCCCGAACTTTATATGCACGCATATAATGTAGAGATGTATGCGCCAAATTTTCGTTTGGAATTTTTTCACACATTGAAATATTTTTTCACGCGTGCACGAGCGCGCGCTCTCGGGAGCACCCACGGATTCCCATCTCAAATATTTATACTACAAAGACATGTCAAAAAATGTTTTGTCTCAAAACACAGAAAATAATTACTCCCTCCATCCCGCACTAAGTTAGTGCTAGATACATCAATTTGAGCGACAAATAATTTGGGAGACAGAGATGACCTAGCCAGCCGCCGCCTCCCCAAAAAAGTTAGGGTTCCTCTGCCTCCTACTGGCGCCATCGCCGGTCCACCCCGTCTCCGGTGGCCTTAGGGCCATGGGGGCGGAGTGGATCCCGGCCCTTGCCGGTGGGAGGGCTCCATTTTTAGAATTTTTTTATAGTTTTGTTAGGGTTTGTGTCCTGCTCAGGAAGGCAAGACGCGCGACGGCTCTCTGAAGATGGAATAATTGTCTCCCGCCTAGTCCCCGTTCCATTGATGCGTCTACCATTGTCGGTGGGCGTGTGGAGGTGTGTCTCCGACAGACCTATCTTTGGTGGATTTGCTTGGATCTGTTCACTGTTCGTCTATGTTCTTGTGTCTTCAGATTGGATCCTTCTGATCTACACTCTTCATCGGCGGCAGTTGCTATTCTGATGTGTTGGTTCTATGGGGCCTTAGCACGACGAATTCTCGACTGTTACAACGAGGTTTGCTTGGCTCTAGTGAGGGAGGAGCGATGATAGTGACACATCTTCGGCTCGCTTCAGTGCTTGTAGTCATCGCTAGGTGGACTACAGATCTGGATATAATTTTTATTATTTCTAGTGTTCGTTGTACTAGCGTTATTGAAGATGAATAGATCAGAAGTTTTTCCCACAAAAAAAAGTAATTCAGGAGAGAGGGAGTACAACAAAAAAATCCGATGGTTTAATGAGATAAAGTACAACAAACTACCCTGCAAAAATTCAACCATTATACATATCAACCAACAAATGAAGAAAAAACAAATTTTCCTTTATATAGTGCCTCCTTTTTCTATTACAACAGAATTTTTAACAGATTTTGTTTTATATTCTTCTACATTAGTTTTCTCTTGTTTTTTTACCTGTAATTCTAGCAGTATAAATAGGATTTGGATGTGCATTTTCATGACCTGATAACTAACACTGCTGTCGAAGTTGTAAATAAAATTCAAAGGCAGTTACAGTAATTAAAACATTTGGTACAAATACTTCAGGACAGAACTACACAAGTGAAAATCTCATCAGACTAGCTAGACACCAACAATTCAATTGTGAACTATACTAATCATGGAAAAAATCAGATTTTTTTATTGAGATAAAGCACAACAACTATCCTCGAAAAATTCAACCGAAAACCATTATATATATCAACAATCAGGTGGAAAAGAAAGAAATTTTTTCTTTGAATAGTGCATCTCCTTTTTTTTATTACGTCAGATTTTTTTAACTATTCAATTAGGAACTTTAATAATGTTGAAGCCCAGGCAAGCGTTCCTAATAAACACTTTTTTATGCCTCTGATACACAGCCGGGCCTAGAACTAATCGACAGGATAATTGCTTGTAATCTGGACTCATTCTCTGTCACAATCACCATGTCCGACGTTGGGAACAAAGCCACAAGGAACAAGAGGAACAACAAACTTACTTCACACCACCACAACCATTGGATCTGATGAGGAACAACCATTCTCTCAAAGCATTGAATCTGATGGAACAACCATTCTCTCAAAGCATTGGATCTGATGCTGCTGCTCAATAACCAAGGTGTGTGCTTCCCTACCTTTGCTACTTGCTCAGATCAGATGGGAGCCTCCTGCAAAGAAAAATGAACAGTGGTATTAGGCGCGTCATAGATACAAAATCGCTTTAGGTGTTCTGTTTCTGTTGTTATTGCTTAAACATTCTGTGTTTAACCGGCTAAAATAGTCGTTCTCATGTGTGCAAGCCTCCAGAATTTATTTTTTCAAGCTGAATCTCCAGTAAAAAGGAAGAAGCAGAAAGTGAAGGAAAAAAAGGAGCTCGCTGACCAGAATTCCGTTTTATGGCCATTCTAGATTGTAGCACATTTGCTAGGTGAACCAAATAATTTAGCTTCCATTTCCCCTTTTTTCTTCTTCCAGGAAACAAGCTGATTCATTTGCTAAGACAAAGAACCATATATCTCATATTGAGGTGGAAAGCAGACTTTCCACGATGGCGACTGAACCTCTCCATGACAATCTGGACAATGTCGCAGCAACCGACGAAAGTGATTCCTCTTCCCAGCAGCAACCCACCGTGTACAACTACGACCTGAGTGGTCCACAGTCCAAAGTTCTTTCCCCAGCAAACCAAGAAAGCACATATCTGCTTGGTGGAGTCACTGACCCTGGGTTGTGCAGTAACAAAAGCAGCCTTGGACAAAACCAATTTCAGATTTCTCCAGGGGGTAGCCCTGAGCACCGCCAGATAAGATCAAATGATGCTCTTCACTACATAAGCCAGATGCTGATGGAAGACGCCGACGAGAGGGTCGACATATGCCAAGGGGAGGCTGCTCTCCAGGATGCTGAGAAGCCATTTCGTGACATTCTTGGGGAGGTATGCGCATCGGCTACTAACTGGCCGCCAGACGACTCTGATAAGAGTGGGACCAGCCACAAGAGGCTCTGGAGCACTAGCTTCAGTAATGACTATTCCAGTTACAATGTGTTACAGCCCTTAGCAACCCCGTTGAGTCCATATATCAACAATAGGAGTCTTTTTCTACCAAACCAGCCGTTCACAAGTGTTGGATGGACTTCCGGATCTGGCTTCCCTGCCTTGCGTTGTCAAAGAGGTGTCGAGGAGGAAAAGATGTTTGCTGCAAGTATTGTTAAGCTGGTGATACATTTAAAGAACAACATACTTTATATTTCCCAACTGACTACAAAGGCAAAAGTAGGAGAAATGAGCGAAAACACAATCTTTGAGGTGACGGACCAAAGGGGCTGGGATACCTTTCAAGGAAGGAGCAATAAACATCATGCCATCACCACTTGTCCAATAATTCGAAATGAAAATTTTGACCGAGTTCTGCTATGCTATGGTCAGAAGAGTTTCGATGGAATAACAAGACTGCGAGAAAGGATGGCGGGGGAAGGAAACAAAAACTCGCTGAAAAGCCGGAGCAAAGGGCATCAGAAGCTATGGGTTAGGAAGCAACCGAGGAAAGAGTTGGTTGATCTCAGGACTCTCCTCATCCATTGCGCAGAAGCTGTGGCAAAAGACAACCACCTGTTGGCCAATGACCTCCTAAAGAAGATAAGACGACACTCCTCAGCAGATGGTGATTGTACTCAGAGACTGGCGTTTTACTTGGTGGATGGCCTTGAGGCACGCTTGGCTGGAATTGGGAGTCATGTTTATCGCAATCTCGTGGAAAGGCGAACAAATACCACAGATTGGCTAGAGGCTTACAGCCTTCTTCTTGAAGCTTGCCCTTTCAAAAGGGTGTCATACAACTTTGCCAACCAAACTATTCTTGATGTCTCACAAAGGCAACCAAGGGTGCACATCGTTGATTTTGGCATCAGCTTCGGCTTTC